GAATCATGGAACACTTCATCTAAAACTAATGATGTAATGTATGGGGATTAACATAAGAATAAAAAAAAATTAAAAAAAAAAAAACCACAAAAATATTTTCTTTAAAGTCAGGAGAAAGGCAGCAGGTCCAACACTCTTACAACTTTGTATGGGACATCCTGAGCGATGTGGTAAGGAAGCGGTGGGGACAGCAGGGAAGAGTTGTAATAATTGGGGGGAAAAAAAGCCAAATTATTCTTCTTTGCAGACAAATTGCATAGAAAATCCAAGAGAATCGACAGACTAACTCTTAGACCTAAATTTCATCAAGGTTCCTGGATAAAGATTAATAAGCAAACATCAATACTATTTATATAAACCAGCAACAACCTATTAGGAAATATTTTATGCACATATTTTATAGTCGGCATGTGCTACTATATTAGTTTCAGATGTATGACATAGCGATTAGCCAATTCTATACATTATATAATGTTCACCAGCATCTGCCACCATACAAAGTTATTACGATATTATTGACTATATTCCCTATGCTGTACTTTTCTTCCCTGTGACTTACTTATTTTATAAATAGAAGTTTGTACCTCTTAATCTCCTTAAAAATATGTTTAAATATTGCATTCATAGTTGCAGCAAAAGCCATGAAGGAATAAATCTAACAAAAGATATGCAAAATCTTTTTGGAGAAAATTATAAAATTTTATGGGAAGATATAAAAGAAAATGTCATAAATGTTTATTGGTGGAAGACTCAGTATCATAAAGATGTCAATTTTCCCCACTTGCATCCCAATTGCTCTACAAACTCAGTGTTATTCCATGAAAAACCCTAATGTTCCTACCACAAACCTTAGCTGATTCTCCAATTCTTGAGAAAGAGGGAAGAATTTGAATCTTAAAGGAGAAAGGGGGTGAGGGATTCATCTTATCTTATAGCAAGATTTCAATCTCTAACAGTAAAGACAGTGTGATGCTGATCTGAGGATGGACCAGAATGCCCAGAAATAGACCTACAAGTATATAGGATCTTGTCTTTGACTAACTAGGCACTTAGAATCAGTGGGGGAAAAAAAAGACATATTTAATAAAAGGTGCTGGGACAACTGACTATCCACATGGAAAAAAAAAATTAAATTGGATCCCTACATGCTACCAGATACAAAAACAAAATGTATGATTTTTATAATGCTTCAAAATAGGAGTGAAAAGTACCCAGAATTAAGTACCCAGATCAGAAAGTGCAGTGCTGAAAAATCAAATCTGGACTCACATCCTCATCCTGGGGTCAATTACTATTAATAATAGTAACATCTTCAGAAAACGTTCTATTTTGTTAAACAACTACAGTGAAGTTTAAGAAAGGCCTAGGATAATAATGTATAAACACGGGCAGAGAGCAGTGAGAGAAGAAATATAAATGCATAATTTAAAGACAGTTCTGAAATTTAACATCTTGCTTTGAAGAGACCTGGATTCAGATAGTCATTACTTCTGGGGTGAAGTGTAAACATGACGAGTGAATACGTGAGCCAAAGTTCAGTCACACAACTGAAATAAAATAACCTTCTACTACAAATCAGTTCAGATCAGACTTTCAAAGCAACGCTCCCCTTTTTGAGTTATAACCCTTAAGTACTGTTTCCAAATGTACCAGAAAATTTATCATGTTTGGTGATACAGTTCTTTATGTCCAATAAGCTAAGAGGAATTTTTGTTTATTCTGTAAAAACCCTAAGATAACTCACAACTCACCAAAGAACGAAGGTGACTTACAATGGATGAGTTTAGAATCACATTAGGAATACACAGGAAATGGGGTCATTAGTTGTACATCATTTATTTTGAACTTGGACCACTAGATTTACTTTTGCTGCTAGGGGAAGTAAGAAGCAAAAATAGGATTCCTTGCCAGCCACACACACAAATATTAAAGATAACCCAAAATTTAAGCCTTAGCATTTGTGTAAGTTTACTTTGTTTTCCTCGTCCACCTACCTGAATATTCTGGCAATATTGGTGCACACATCCTTGTCAGCCTCGTACTGTCCCATCGCCGTGCAGAGCTGGGGAAGGGCACTGATGCTCAGCAACTTACTTCTTGCTAGTGGTGAATCAACCAAGTTTCTCAGTGTAGCAGTCACCTAGGATAAAAGAGGGTTTGCGCCATTTTTTTTTAAATTGGAAAATACAGCAACACCAATCAGTACCACACAATTTGTCCTACGATCTTCATTCAATCAGTAGCAAAACCAAGCCCCTGTTAGGCAGTCTTCTACTAGACAACATGGGCTTAAGGACAAATAGCATGAAATGAAAAAAAGAGATGAATACAAAGAAAGCTTACTTTGGTTCAAAGGTGAAGAATGAGAAATTCATGTTAATAAGCAATTAGTATACCAAAACCCTAGGGTTAAATAAGTCATCATCTGGGTTTGTTAGCTGTCCCTCATAAGACTTTCACTTCACGCTGTGACATGCCACATCAGTTTCACAGATTAGAAACCTCTCCTTTCATAGTTTTAAGTGTAGCATCAAATAATGCTCTAGCCAAAGGATATTTAAGACCATTAGTTTCATTCTTTTCTGAGAGCCAAGTATTGATTTCTTGAAAATTTGTCTTATTTTTTTTTAAAGATATTATTTATTTATTTGAGAGAGAAAGAACAAGCAGGGAGGAGGGGCAGTGGGAGAGGGAGAAGCAGAAGCAGACTCCCCACTGAGCAGGGAGCCCAAATGTGGGGCTCGATCCCAGGGCCCCGGGATCATGACCTGAGCCAGAGGCAGATGCTTAACCAACTGAGCCACCCAGGTGCCCCCAAATTTGTCTTATTTCATAAAAAAAAGTTCAGGAAAGCTACCTTTGTCTAAAAGTGGAGAAGAAAAAGGGGCGCTTGGGAGGCTCAGTTGGTTAAGCAGCTGCGTCTTGGTTTTGGCTCAGGTCATGACCTCAGAGTCATGAGATCGAGCCCCACGTGGGGCTCCATGCTCAGCTCAGCAGGGAGTCTGCTGGAGATTCTTTCCCTCTGCCCATCCCCTTGTTCTCTCTCTCTCTCTAAAATAAGTAAACAAATTTGTAAAAAAAAAAAAAAAAAAGTGGAGAAGAGAACGGTTCCATAAATCTAATTTACTAAACGTCAAGTTTAGTACAGCTAATGCTGCAGTTCTCTAATACTTTCAATATGCAGTGTGATCTTTCCTCATGGAACAGGACAAGGCAGACTCTTGGTGAAGAAGAGTCAGCTCAGGAGCTGGACACCTGGTCAAACTCCAGCCCCACCACTCACTAGCTTTGGTTAGCAAGTGAACCTCCCAGGGACCATTTTTCTCATCAGTAAAGTGGGGATGGTGATAGCTCCTTGGAGTTGTGAGGATTCAATGAGACAAAAATTGTGAAGAGCATTGCCACCTGTCCTCTAACAGGAGCTCAAACATCATGGTTGCCATCTCCACATTTGTTGTGGAGCTCCACACCCAAAATGCAGAAGAGGGATCAGTGGCCTTCGAGTCAAATGATGAAGATTCAAGTCCAGAATCTCTTTCTAGTTACGTGACTGAGGCACCCACTCATTGCTTGACTTCCCGACTTTCTCATCTGTGTAAAGCATTTACCATCCCTGCTCACCTCCTGGGGTGGTTGTGTGTATCAAATGGAAACATGTAACAATGTCTCTGTGTGCTGTAAAGCATTATGTAAATATAAAGCTTCATTATAGCCATAGTTAATAAACTTTAACAACAATTATTAAGATATGTATCTTTGACTAGTTTTCCTTTGTCACAACAGCAACAAAAATATAACTGACGATCTTTAAAGCAGAGAAAATAAAAATAATGCTTCAAGTAAATGTGTTCAAGTCTTCTGAAGTCAATTCAATTATACAACAATTCAGTAAATTATTCCCTGAAAGCTTCAGCACCCAAAACATTGGAGGGAGGAAAAACTACTTGAGCATTCCCCTTTGCCGTGGACCTACAACACAGTCTCCTAAGCTAAGGAATGGTCTTCTGTGAAGGCTAATACATCATTTTAGGCTCTCCAGGCCATCACCACGATAAAATGGAAAATTCTCATCATCTGACCCTGGTTCTACCTGTTCTTCTCTAGAGACAGCCCAGGCACTCAAGCGCTGCTGGATTACATCAATCCAAGGAATGACTCAACAAGCGTTCCCACTTGGAGTCCAGAGCCCAGATGCCTGTGTGAATCCTGACCTGAAGTCAGGCAGCCAGAGGCTGTGGAATACCCGTTCTAACCATCACACACAGAAACCCGTCCTCTTCCTACCACGATCTATAGCCATCCTCTTGCTCCCCTCATCCAACCCCTGGCAAGGGACACTGTCAGCAAAAGGGATGGTGGTGTTCTTAGGAGCTTTTATTTTCTTGTTTCAACCTCAGTTTTTTCCTCTCTCTTGACCATTTTCTTTTTTTTTTTTTTTAAAGATTTTATTTATTTATTTGAGACAGAGAGAATGAGAGACAGAGAGCATGAGAGGGAGGAGGGTCAGAGGGAGAAGCAGGCTCCCTGCCAAGCAGGGAGCCCAATGCGGGACTCAATCCCGGGACTCCAGGGTCATGACCCGAGCCGAAGGCAGTCGCTTAACCAACTGAGCCACCCAGGCGCCCTCTCTTGACCATTTTCCTCATCTCATTAGAAAAAATTAAAACAGGGGCACCTGGGTGGCTCAGTCGGTTAAGCGTCTGCCTTCAGCTCAGGACATGATCCCAGGGTCCTGATATCAAGCCCCACATTGGACTCCCTGCTCAGCGGGGAGTCTGCTTCTCCCTCTCGCTCTGCGCATTCCCCCGCTTCTGTTCTCTGCCTCAAAGAAATAAATAAAATCTTTAAAAAAAAATAAAATAAAATAAAAAAGAAGAAGAAAAAAAGGAGGACAAGGAGATGAAGGGACAAGGGAGCAGAAAAGGAGGATTTCTCCTTTAAGAAGCCTCTGGCAAGAAAGTGCAGGGGATTAGCAGAGGCCTGGTGGTAAACCCAAGCCTAAAGCCCTGAGGGCTGAGGATCAGGAGGGGGTCACCAGGCAAAGGCAGCAGGGCAGGCCCCCCATTTTGAGAGGCTGGCTGAGAGCCACAAATCTCACTGCGGGGGTGGAGGTGGGACTGACTGCCAAGCACAGACAAGGGGCTGTTTCTGGGGAAAAAATGTATTAAGATTGGGCGTGGGGGGGGTGGGGGAGGAGAGTCTAGTTAAATCCTGCGCTAACGGTAAAGGCGAATTTCTAGTCAACCCACTTAACTTTTGACCTTGCTCCCACTTTTAACAGAGATCTATTTGCGGAAATCACTAATGAGTTTTCCTGCCCTCCCCCCAGGAAAGCCCACCCACTGGGCCTGCCCCCAAAGCAGGAGTTCGCCAAAGTCCAAGCTTTAAGCTTGCGGAAGTGTACCCGGCTCTTAACTTTCCATTCCAATTTATATCGTTCCTAGCTCTGCTTAGTTATGTACTTTTCTGTTTTACTGTCTATAATCTTTTAAGCCATCTCAAATCCTTTAGGACAGAAAAAGAAGTGCAAGTTAGATGATTACATCGATGCCTGTTGAGCTTCCAAAGGGCTCACTGGAGCAGTTCCCACGTGTCATCTCACCAAGAAAGAGCAAACAGAAAAACATGTTTCAATTATTTTTCTTCCCATCTCCTAACGCACAACTGCACGGGGCAGCGAGGCAAGCAGGGGGAAGAAGAGAAAGGAGAAGAATATGGAATTGATCATCTACAAAGATGATTGATAAGAATTTAGGTGTCCTTGCTTCTTAGCCGGTGTGAGATGATGACTGAGGCGTCACCCTACATTTTTCGGTATAAGCCAAGAAAGAAACATTCTGGTGTGATTCTGGTTACTAATCTGCTCCTGAAAACGGACTGAGCTACACTCTACAACTTTTTGGTGCTCATTTTTTTCTGAGGCAGCTTCCTCTCTCTGTGTCTCCAAATTCCTTGATCATAAGAGGTACTGGCCCCCACCCTCAACCAGAATCTCCAAGCAAAATTGCTGATGAGTTTGGCAAAGCTGTCCTCTCTAGCATTGAAAGTTCTCACTGTGTCGTCGACACTGGGAGATACATTTTAAAGGGAAAAATTATATTGAGAAGTGATTAGATAATTCATAAAGTCTTTTATAATTTATAAACAACATTTTAATATAGCAAAATTAGAATTCAAAATATCTTTTCTTCAAATTGATTATAGGCACTTAGTTATCAATTTCCAGTTATGTTTTCAACTATTAATTGAAAAACCTTAGCAAATGCAAGAAATCGTTGTCTTAAAATATGAGGCCCTCCTGATTGATATCATGGGATTTAAGAATGACAATACAGGCCCAGCAGCTGGGGCCCCATTCCTGCAGGCTTTACTGCAATGGGGTGTGCGAGGGGTGGGATGGACGCAAGGTAGGGAGGGCTGGTTGGTTGACTTGAGCCTCCGCACACTGCTCATTTCCAGAGTGGTTGGCCCTCTCTCTTCCCTTTGCACTATTCCTCCATCAGAATCCTCAGTCCCCAGGGAACCCACCAGCTTCTGCCCTAGAAGGCATTCAGCCACAGAGCACAAGGGCTTGGAGCTCACAGTCCACCATAGAACTCCTGTTTCAGTACGTCAGAAGTTAAGCAGTCTTTTTTGGCAAGCCTGGGAACTTCACCATCAATCATGATATTGTTCCTTGAAGAAATATTTCCCAATTTCAAAAAACCAGCTTTCAAAGAAACCTCTGGAACATAATGCAATTAAAAACCACACCATCAATAGTCTGAAAGTTATTATGTTTCCTCTACCAAAATCAGCATGAGGATTCAGTTTTATTTATTTTTATACATTGAATGTGATTATGGAAAGAATTTGAGCAGCTTTATGGTTTATAAATCTACCCTATAAACTTGATCTCATTTGCTCCCTAAACCAGCCCCATGAGGCAGACAGGAAGGGTATTACAAGCCCCACTTTTCAGATGAGGAAACCAAGTCTCAGAAAGTCCACCAGCCACCAGGTAGGTGGGCATCCTAAGCTCCAGCTCCTTGTCTGTTGTCTCTCCCACTCCACTTGGCCCTTCTCTAAAAGCATTCATTTTATTTCTCAATCATCTGGAATATCCATAACCAAAATCCCTCGAGCTTTATCTCAACTTAA